ACCCTCTAGGTGATAGTTCTTGATTACTTTTTGATAAATAATTCGTTCTTATTGCGAAATAGGAGCACTATTTATCAATCTGTAATAAAAGACGTCAGGAAATTCTGTCTTTTTTAAAGACAAAAATTTTTGAGGCGAAATACCCAAAAAGAAGTTTGTAAAAAATATTGAATACAAGTTATTTAACAATAAAATGACGATTGCGATGCGATTTAACCGGCATAGTGTGGTCGATCGAAAATAACGACTACATGGATGGCAATTTTACCCCAACATAAATGTCCGAATTAATTTTAAATATACCTCGATAACTCCACTAAACGCTATATTTAGACCTTCGGATGGCTTTTTTGGCTTGCAAATGAACATCAGTTCAGATGTGCTTAAACCCACAAACAGGACAAAGCTATTTGATGCAAAAAAGAGTTTTTTGTTCTATCGAAAAAACGGGTTTTAACTGATTTTTCGTGGTTAAGAAACAAATAAGTCAAAGAAGTTGGGCGCAAATTAATTGATGCAATTTTGCAAATTTTGCCGAAATCTCATTGATGGTGAATTTTTGCAAAGGCTGCTAATGCACACTCTGCTTAAATGTGCAATTTTTCGTTTTTGAGAGATTAATAATTTAATGAAGCTGTGGACAGGAAAAGTTCTTGAAGATGAGCGTCCTTGGAAGCTTGGAATTTTCAGCAAAACACATTTTTTCCTATTTAATAAGTGCCACAGAAAGTGTGGGTGATTATCCATATTCGGGAAGTTAATTTGTGAAAATGCGACACCAAAGTGCACATTTAGGACAGTTTGGTGTGAAAAAACCTCTTAAGGTGGCCGAACTTCGCAATTGTTAAAACTACTAAATCAAACGTTTGTCTATCAAATAAGAGAATCTGAAAGTGTGGACCGCCCGCGTTCCTCTTATTCCTTAATTATTCCTTGATGATGACTGAACTCCCTTTGATACTTTTCTCGACTGAGCGCAATAACGCGCTGTTTTTAAGAAATACATTTTGAGATTAAGTCTTGCTTCGATTTTTCGAAAATTTGTCAAAAATTCCCAGAGAGCAACTGAAGTTCCAAATTTTTAATATTAATAGGGTGCACTTCTGTCTACCTCATCTAATACTCTGATCCTAAATTTGACGTCTCGTTTATGAGAAAAAAAATTTTTCGTGCCAATTTTGTTCCTCAAGTCGTGCGAAAAATTCCTTGAGGATGAGTGAA